AGATCTTTTGAATCCAGTGAGAGGAGAGACACACCAATCTTAGTGTCTTTCTGCAAGCAAACACCATGAGTATTGAGGTGATGATCATCTGGCATTAAATTTGCTGGGCCCGCCATGTCATCCAAATGTCTGACTCCAGATTCCCAAGGCAGGTTTTATTCTCCCAGCTCGCCAAGGTGTATGCTCAAGAGGAGGGCAGAGAAAGCATTCCAGAGATGTCTTCAAGGCCAACTTAAAAAAATGCAACATTGATATCAACTCATGGATTATTGCTTAGGACCACTCCAAAGGGAGGAAGAGTCTGCTGCAGGGATCTCATTACTTTGAAACCTCATGACAGCAAGGGATGGAAAAGTGGGAGCAGCAGAAACACCGCGTCACAGACCAAATAAAAAATCCAGTGCCACCCACCCCACACGGAATTACATGTCCAAGCTTCAGTAGAGTTTGTTGATCCCAGATAACCCCTCACTGGCCATCTTCAGACACACAGATAAGACAATCATGGAAGACAATCATCTTTGACTGTGAGGGACTGCCGAAGAAGCTAAGATTCCCTCAGTAGTCCATTGCTCATTATTCCTATCAGACCATGAGCTTCCCAGAAATCCTTCCATAGGCTTCTCATTTTACCCCAACACATCCGAGATATTTGTTCCCATTTTCAAGTCCTAGCCTGCCCATTTGGCCTTGTTACTTTTGCACCCCCACTTTTTTCTCAGTAGTGAAGCCAGCCTTGGCTGCTCATTTATCAGCTTCTCACAACTATGTTTACACCTTGCTCCAGGCATGAAAAGCAGCATGGAATATTCTCACTGCACTGAGTGAAAGGCCACAGCTTTCTTCCACTAACCACCCCCTTCTTCTCTAATGTCTTAGGCCCTTTATCCATGTTCCTTTTAAGACACAATTAACCTGTTGATCATGCTCTCAATAGTAGACCAGCCACATGTTTGTGTTAATTTAAGGCAGGATAATACAGTAAATGAGTCACAAAGTTATTCCAAATGTAACGTGCAACAACACTGTGATTGGTTTGTATCATGCCTTAAGAACATGTGGCTGGTTGGGGCTGGCCTATGACAGATCCTGACACTCAGCTGAGTGCCAGGATCCTGCATGGGACAACCCCAGAGTCTGTGACACAATTGTCACATACACAATCAGTTAGGGGCAAAATTAGTCCCTGAACCCCATGGCCTCATTTGGCCCCCAGAAGCTCACTGCACCTCAGACATATAAAAGCCTTATGTGCAGCTAGGTCTGCATGTGATTTTATGACATCTCTGGCACCCAGGGTCAAGAAGCTTCTCCCCAGTCTTGAGATTCCTGTGCATCACACATGGTTTTTAAAGGTCCCAATGTGATTGGATCCTGGGATTGGGGAGAGGGTCCTAAATCCTGGGGTTCCCATGCATCAGAACATGTAAAAACTACATGTGTATCCCAGCTGGGGCTTTGACAATCAGCTGATTGTCAGCTATGGCTCAGGATTGCATTGGGGCCTGTTTCAGACCTGGTTCAGTCCCTGGCCCCAGATGGAAATCAGTTGATTGTGGGCATCCTCTTTCAACTTGCTGATACAGGGGGAGCCCAGGATCTGATTTCCTATCCCAAAATCGTGCATCTTGCCATGCGTCTCCTGCTATGGTATACGTGCAACTGTTGGGATTACAGATCAGATCCCACCACGCTTTTAAGCTAGGGTCTGTCAGCATCTTTAGAAATCAACCAGTTAGAATGACTCAAACACAGCCCTGGATAATCAAGACTAATTCAATTTATAATAATACAAACATCATTGACACACACCTGACTATATCCCTCCTCAGTCTGCCTTGTCATCTTGTACTATAACCTCCTTGGAGGAAATACCTCAGCTACATTTATAGAGTATGCAGTACATTAGGGCCCCAGGTAGGACAATAATGTTAAATAATAATCCTGCCAAGCAGAATCTAGTCTTCTCAGTGAGGATCGTATTTTCAAAGGCAAAACCTGGACATTATATGTGTCCTACAGTAAGTTTTTTGGGACACAGGGGACATCGTTTACAACTAACACTTATAATCAAGACATATAGTCTATAACCACAGATATCTCATCTGGAATGCAAGAAGGGATATTGGGTAATGATGCATACACATGCTGATAGAGATAAGAGATAATGACATTTAATCCCTTTAATACATGTAAATTCCAGGCTGGATTTTGTCACGTTGCAACAATGACCATAGTAACATCCATTTCCTTTAACAGAAGCATATTTTGTTAGAACCTTCACCTGCTCCTACGTGAATTATTGACAAGACTCAAGAGAGCAGGAGTGCCATATTTGTTGTAACTGAAGTCTGTGCTGCACTGCAAATTAAACACATTTAGACCTCTCTAATTCAACGCACATTAAAGGTATCTTAGGTGGGCCAGATCATTGAGCAGCCTAGAACCAAATGTTTTGGACATGAAGAAGGGGCTTTCAATTACAGATCTGGCTTTGTTGCTTGTGGAAGGAATGATGGTCTTATAAATATATAAAATATATCAAGTTAGGGCAGAGACAGAAAACTCCTGCCTGACCTTAACAAGTCTTTTAGGATATGTCTAAACTGCAGCAGAAGTGTGCTCAGCTGCACAACTGAAAAAAATAAACCGTGGTCACTCATTTCCACTCTGTCTGTGTCTAAGGAGGCAATGAAGATGCCCCCAGTACCACAATCAAGACCCAGGTTTCCAGCATGTTCTAGGGCAGTAGCTTGGGTTCTCCCCATGCCTCCTGAAGTCCTTATATCCAGACTAGACCTGCATGGCAAGGAACAAATGAGTGAAGATTATTTCCCCAAGGCATAACTAAGGAGTCTGCCACTTAATCTCAGGGAACCTTGACCTACCAATCAGTATAACAGAGACCTGGATTTCCTTCCTGGGCTATAATGTTTGGAGGAAGAAATTGTTTATGAGGCGCTAACCCACTAGCAGCTATATGGATATACTTCTTGGGTACTAGAGAAAGTTCTTTTTCCAACAATAAATATTCAAAGCCTGTATGAATTTTTATAAAGTAGTCAAATAGAGAACAGTAGTCTGTTTGCAGAATATTGGTTGTAACTCTCTCTGCCAGAAGAAAAAAACAAGGGGAACAGAAAGAAATCTTTTATTAAACCAACTACATAGTTGGGAGAGGTATTTCATTCTGTATTGTCATACATGTATTGGAGATAAATAAAACCATTTTTTCCTGGCATTTAGTGTACGCTGTATCTGCTTCTTTCCCAGACCTGAGGAGTGCATTCTGTGCCTAAAAATTAGTTTAATCTCTCCCAAATATATAGCTGATCTGATAAAAAAGATACTACTAAACAAACTTTGCGTCTCTCATATTACCTAAACCATCACAGATACTATAGCACTCTGACCTCCCATAAGGATAGAGAAGAGGCCAGAGATTTTACCAGAAGATTACTGCGTTGGTTCAACAACTTGTAATTTGGCTGGAGCAGCAGCCAGCAACCTTTACAAGCTGTCAGCTGGATGGAACAACCTAGCTTTGGTCTACTATGGACCAAGTGGCTTCAGCAGCACATGAGAGGCAGGGGGCTTTGCCTGTGCCTATGCTGGGGCCAGGGAGCTTGGAGCTACACCCATGTCACCACTATTTCTCCCAGCCTCCCATCCCCTGGCTGGGATGCAAATGCAGCTTCCACCCAGCGGGGAGATGCACTGAGGCTAGGCATCCATGCTGCTGCTGCTTCTCCTCCCCACTCTCCTGCCTCCCAGCTGCAGCTCACCACCAGCTGGAAGCTGCACCCATACTGCAGCCTTGTGGGGAGAAGCAGCTAGAAGTTGCCCAGCCCCAATGCAGCAGGTGGTTTTGCTGTACCTGGAAAGGGAGATTCCCTTCTCCCTGACCTTGAATGGCTTTTTGAACTTGAGGGTGGAGACTTGTCCATTGTACTACAGGCAGACACCTCTACAAGAGCCTACTACAGCCTCGCAGTGGGAGGATCTCAGCTACACACTCTATTTTATGGAAATGGGGGGATTTCTCCCTAGGTTGCTCCTTTGGGCTTTTGGCTACAGGCAAGAGAAAGGGGCATCTGAACGTAGGATGCCCACCATGGATATGGGAGTATCTGAAGCCCCAGGCTGAAGAATATGGGAGGCAAGATACTTGCCAGTGGTAGTGCCACACAGACCTGAACAACGGAGCTCTGCTCAGTGAAAGGAGTTTGGGACTGACTATACTAATTTGGCCCTGGCACAGGCATGGGCACAGGTGAAACCCTCCAGCACCAGAGGCCAGATCCAGTGGCTGCATGGGCCAATTTACAAAGAAATAGCACTAGTGGTACAGTGCAGCTGTAACAAGTGGCAGTTTTCTGTAAGAATTTTCCAGTTCGCATCAACTATAATCCATCAGTGCTCGAAAGTAACATAGCAATGAAAAGGACCACAATGTGTTTCTTTCTTAGAATTAGAAAATGGGAATAAACCTATTTGGTCATAACCCATTTAATGATTCAGACTCGGTGTTGTTACAAATGGCTGCTTATTAACCAGGAGATGTGCATCTCCAAACGACTTTACAAACATCCCTTGAATGATTCTGACAAAATCCACATATGGTACTAAACAAGTGCAAATTGGGTTCCGTGTATAGACATAGATACCGAGACAGAAATTTTGCCCAGGGTGTTAGAGCAGGCATTAGACCCCAGACATTCTTGACTCTGAAGCTGCTGGTCAGAACCTAGTCACACTTGTTTCATAATAAGGCAAGCTCCAATGTTATTTTAACATTAAGGATTTCCCGTTTCAATCATCATAAAATATGATAGGCGTTTATGGGAGTTTAGCTTGGCCTATAAAGAATCCAGCACCTGAGCACTGTTAATTTCCATATTAATACAAGCTCAGACAGGCAGGTCCCTGAGTTCCAGCAGTGCTTGTCACTGGAAAATCCTTAACCTTATGGTTCAATGTTATGTTGTGATCTCTTGCAGGCAAACTGGAAAAATGGCTAGTGAGAAGGGACACATAATGATTCCTATGACATCATGTGAGACTTATCCACAGCCCAACATACAAGCACCCTCTGCACCAGACTTCTGTGCACAAGAAGGTAGGCTAATGTTGCAAAGTCCCAGAAGGATAAGGCGTCCTCTGGATGGTTTCTGCTTCAAGTGCTAATTAATGGCGCTTGATGCAGAAAGAGCCTGGCTCATGAGGTGGCCTAACTTTCCCAGCATATCCTGGGCTCAGGAGGTGCCCATGCCCATTACATCAAATTAGGGCTAATTTACATTGCACTGGCTATAGCAGAAGTGGGCAATTATTTTGGCCAGAGGGCCACTGACAGAGTTTTACTGACCTGTTGCAGCCTGGGTCAGCACCCTCCTTGCCCCCTACTCCATCCACAACAGCTCACCAAAACTCCCTAAGTGTCCCCCGCACATGGCCAGGTGGCTGTGATGGGACCATAGGTGGGTGGGGAGTGGCATTCAGGAGTGGGACAGGCAGGCGGGCAGAGTCAAGGCTGGGGCTGGGATTGGGATCCTGGGGCAATAACAGCATGGGCCAGGACCCAGGGCAGAGTCACAATCTGCTCCCCACATGTCCCTGCCCACAGAACTGGCACCCATCATAGGGACGTGCAGACATAGGATCACAGCTCTGCTTCGGGCCTGGCCTTGAGGCTGAGTGTGGGGCCCAGTAAGGAGCACTGGAGCCAAAAGAAAGAGTGGGACCAGAAGGATCCAGAAGCCCAGAGAGGAGTGAGACCAGAGTGGGACCATGTGTGTCCAGAAGCCCAGTGAGGAACTGGGAAAAGATGGACCAGATGTGTCCAGAGGCCCAGTGAGGGGTTGGAGGGCCCAGGGAGGAGCCAGATGAGAAACTAAGGGGTCTGGCAACCCAAAAAAGGGACTGAGTGTGAAACCAAGGGGTCTGGCAGCCCAGGGAGGGGCTGAGTGAGAGACGAGGGATCTAAGGAAACAGAGTGGGGCTGTGTAAGAGGCTGAGGGGGTCTGGGGGCCCAGAGAGGGCCTGAGGGAAAGACCAAGAGGTCAGAGGGCCCAGGGGGGCTGTGTGTGTGTAATGAGAGAAGATCAATGAAGATAGCATCTATGAAGGTTGGGGTATAGTGTAGGGGTGGATTTGAGCCACACAATTAGCTCATATGGCTGGGACCACAGTCAGCTGGTGTCCATTCAATTAATATTGAATTAATTATTCAATGAATTAGGGCAGCCCCCCATATTTTAATGGCAGTTAACACCAAGACATGGCAGGAGAGGTGGGCGGACTGGATAGAGCAGGGTAAAAGTAAATGTTTTGGTCCCCAGGAGCTTTATAGCCACCCCTAGAGATGGTACCCAGTGACACACCTTTACTGTCATCAAAATCAACAAAGACACGCATTCAATTTGGGGATCTAGAACATCAGGACCCTCATGGATGATCGTCAGTGTGAACACCCAGAGCGCTGCACCACAACTGTGGCTCAAGAACTCAGGCAACACAACATTGATCTTATTGCATTGAGCAAGACCCAGCAAGCAGAAGAAAGGCAGTCCAAAGAACATGGAGGTACCTATACCTCCTTCTGGAAAGGTAAACAGAAAGGAGAATACCAGGTTCACAGAGTTGGTTTTGCCATCAAGAATGAACTCATAAATCAACTCCATGAGTTCTCTATCAGAATTAATGAGCACCTCATGACTTTGTCTTAAGTTTCTGGGGAGCCAATAGGCCACTGTCATCGGCGCATATGTCCTAACTGTTGATGTCGCTGATGAAACCGAGGAATTCTGTGCCAACCTTGACCAAGTATTTCCTGATGTTCTGAAGGGAGACAGACTTATTCTTCTCAGTGATTTCAATACCAGAGTCAGAGGGGAATCAAACCTCTGGAATGGAATTGTCAAGGAAGGAGTAGGAAAGGTCAACTGCAATGGCATCCTCCTCTTGACCAAATGCATGTAACATGAACTCACCATTACCAACACCCTGTTCCACCAGAAAAACAGTCAAAAGACATCCTGGAAACACCTGTGATATAAGCATTGATATCTGACTGATGTCATTGTTCATGCCCAGGATCGCAAAGATGTCCAAATCACCTGAGCTATGCTATGGGCTGATGACTGCTGGACTGATCACCAACTCATCTGCTCAGTTACGTCACTCAAACTGGCTCCTAAATGATGGCTGCACCAGAAGCAATGTTGATGGAAGATCAATGTCGAAGGACTCAAGGACCCAGTCAAGCAAAACCTCTTCCACCAGTGCCTCAATGAAAAACTGGGGAATTCCAATCAACAACAAGAGAATGTTGGCAGTGTTCGTGGTGCCTTCAAGTCTACCATCATCAGTGCCTATGAAGAAACACTAGGATTCTGTAACAGGAAACATCAAGGCTGCTTTGATGAGAACGACTGGGAGATCCCAGAATTGATCAACTGCAAGTGCAAAGCTTTTTATGCCTGCCAGAATGACATCCAAGCAAAATAAATTGAATCTCCAACAAGCCAAGGCAGGAGTCCAAAGGAAAAACGGCAGGATGAAGAGCAGATGGTGGGAAGACAAGGCGAAGGAGATTCAATGTCTCACTGACATCCATGATAAGTGGGGTTTTTTCAATGCCACCAAAGCCATCAATGGTCCAAGCACTCAGGGACCAACTCTCTTGAGACCTAAGAATGCAGAAGACCTGATCAAGGAAAGGGTCACCATCGACACCCATTAGAAGGAGCATTTTGAAGTCTCTCTCAATTCAGACTCTATTGATGACTGTTCTCAACTCCAGCCTGCAACACCCAGTCAGAGATGATCTTGGAATTCCTCCAAAACCTGACGAGGTAAGGAAGGCCATCAAACAGATGAAGAACAGTACCTGGAGGAGATGGAATTCCAGCCAAAACCTTCAAGCAAGAGGGAGAGAAGTTCACATCACAGCTCCTTGCCCTCACTTTAAGGATTTGGAATGACGAGGAAATCCCAGATGACCTCAGAGACACCATGAATATGACAATCTTCATGGAAGGAAGGCTCCCCCATGCTCCTGTGGGATGCTCCATCTGCCCCACCATAGCAGCTTTCATGAGCCATGCCTAGTACCTCTCTGATGATCTTGACATCAGTCACTGGGAGAGCCTCAAGGAAGACATCCATGATGCATGTGAAAAATTTCTAGGCTTTTCTACAAAGAAACATCAGGACTTGCTTGATGAGAATGATAGGGATATTTAAGTTCTCACTGACAGAAAAAGGAGAGCTTTTGAAATTTGGCAGAATTACATCAATTCCAAACAGAAGGAAGACACTTTTCACATTAAAGCTGAGACCCAGAGGAAGAGTCAAGAGCAAAAGAACAAGCAGCAAAAGGACAAAACAAGAGATTAAAAAGTTCGATGACAGCTACAACATGCCAAGTTTCTTCAGTGCAACCAAAGCTATCTATAGGCCAAGCACACAAGAAGCCATCCCTCTGAGGTCCAAAAATGGAACAACATTTTTTAAAGACAGCTTCACCATCAGTGCATGGTGAAAGGTACTCTCAAGAGCTCCTGAACCAAGATTCCAATGTTGAAGACAATACTATTTAAGCCATTTCACAAGACCCCATTAAGGACTTCCTTGCAGTTCCACCAATTTATCAAGAGGCCTTGAATGCCCTTAAGCAGATGAAGACCAACGAAGTATGTGGTCCTGATGGAATACCAACTTAACACCTTATAAGCAAGGTGGAAAAAAACTCTCTTACCAACTATACACTATTATTATGAAAATCTGGTAACATGGACAGATTCCTAGTGACTTGAAAGATGCCAAAAATCACTACCAAAATCAAGAAAGAAGATGCCTCAGATTGCAGCAATTATTGTCATATTACCCTCTTACTCACAGCTGGGAAGACCCACTCTCTTCAACAGACTCACTTTTCTTACTGAAGAGATACTACCCATGTTTGAGTGGTTTTAGACCACTCAGAGGTATAATAGATATGATCTTTGTTGCTAGATGCCTGCGGAAGAAGTGCTGAGAGCAACATCAAGATCTTTACATGGCCTTCATTGACCTAAGGCCTTTGATTCAATCAGGAGAGGCCCTATTTCCATCTTCCTCATCCTAATGAGATTTGGATGCCTGCCAAAATTTGTTACCATTACCAGACTTCATGACTACATAACAGCAAGCAACAGCTCTGCAATGGACCTTTACTATTAGGAGTCAAGCAAGGATGTGTGATTGCACTAAAACTTTTCCATCTATATCACAGCTATTCTCCATCTCATTGCTGATACATTTCCATCTGGATTCAGCGTTAAGTATCACTTGGATGGGACTCTGTTTAACATCAACCAGTTACATTCCAAATCCAAGATAACCAACAGCTCCATTACTGATCTTTAGTACACTGACGATTGTGTTGTATGTGCTCAGGCCCTGATTTCCAAGAAGCAGAGAAATAACTTAATCTCTTTCCTGCCACCAGACATTTCTTAAGGCATGCAAGCTGTGCCATCTAGCCTATCCTAATACTTGCTGGAATGGCTAGCTTCTTGTTTTTCTGTAACCTAACTCTTTTTTAATGAGGACATGTTGTTAGTCTGCTGCTCAGTCCAGAACCTGGAGGGCCCAATGATTGTCTTGGATTTCATCCCTACCTTGTGACTTAGGTGTTTATAAGTGGCTCTACTAGGAGTCAGAGCCCTTGCTGGAATAGTTCTCAATCACTGAAACATGTAAACCTTTCCAAGACATTAAGGTGCAGTCACACAGGAAGGAACAGAAAAACAGAATAAACTTAACTAACATAATCAACAGTGAGTAGTTTTTTAACAATAAGCCTATTAAAGAAATAATTTACATTAAAAGAATTCTCATACTCTTCCCCCCTGAGTTAGAGAAGAGCAGTTTGCTAATGCCACACCACGCTACGTCCTTGCTAAGCTTGTAGTCTATCTAAGAAGCCGATCTAAAGCCCCAACCTGCCCACTGAGAAATACATCCTTCTTCGTTTGGAAATGGTCCCAGAGGTATTTCTGGGCAAATATCCTGAAATCCCTCCCAAGATTATACCAGCTCATACTTTCTTAGCACTGTATATCTTTCAAATGATAGGGTACAGAGCAAACAGAAGCTGTGTACTCAATACTGAACCACAGTGTGGAGATCACTCCACAATAGCTGCTGTTCAGATTCTGATTAGGTGTTTGAGGGGTTAGGTTGTACAACATTTTATGCTTTATTCATTTTTTTCTTAATACAGTAGATTACCAGTATCCTTCTCCCCCACCATACTCCTATCAAGATGTCAACCCCACAGCCAACCCCACAGAAACAGGTAAGAATAAAGATTTTGTGTAAGTTATTTAGGATATAGCACATGAACAGAAGCAAAAACATCTTGCTGCTCTACTACTAGTTTTTCATGAATGGAGGGGGATTCAGACCCATTTATGGTATAAAAAGATAAGAAATTACCTACTAAGGATGACAGGGAAACACTGTTTATGATTGTTACTCCTTTTCCACAATCCATGGTTTAATTTACCCACATCTGAATCAGTTAAGGATTAGTACTGGATGAATAACTTTTATTTTTTGGTTCATTTTTTGAACCAAAAAAAATATCATCCAGGTTAACCTGAAATAAGCCTTTTCTCTATAAACTAAAAAAGGGTTTTTTTGTGTGTTGAACAAAAAAGGTTCCATTTTATGGGAACTTATAATCAAAATAGAGGGGTAGATTCATGCTGCTGCTGATCCGGGTTGACAGGGACCCAATCTGAGTGCATGGGGGCTGGCAGGTGCGATCTGGGCCACAGGGTGCATTTTTGGAACCTATACTACCCTTGGGAGCAAGTGAGCCAGGCAGGCAAGGAGTGGATTTGGCAGCTCCTAGCCATCCCGCTTCTCGCCAGCCCTCTAGGTGCAGGTCAGAGCAGTACACGTTAGAGGGTATTAACACTTAACACAAGGACAGGAAAATATGGCCCATGGACTATTTTATCTGGCCTGTGGGGCCCCTAAAAAAATTTAGAAAATTAATATTTCTCTGTCATCTTTGACAGGCTGCCTGTCAAAGATGACAGGAGCCAGGGGCAGTAGGACCCAGGGAAAGCTAGCAGCAAGACCGAGCAGCCCAGCAAGGCCCACCTGGCTCTGCCCCTCCCATCTCCACCTGCCCCAACCAGGCTTCTGGCCTGGATGCATGAGGCTCTTCCCTGCCTCCATGTGCCGGAGAGGGAGATTCAGATAAGAACATGGGGTGGGGGAAAGGCAGGGGAGGATCATGGGGGATACTGCATGTGTGTGTGTATGCAGGGAGGGAGGGACAGAATGTGCGCGCGTGTGTGTAGGGAGGAACAGTGTGTGTGTGAGGAGGGAGGGAGGGAGGGACAGAGAGAGAGAGAGAGAGAGAGTGTGTGTGTGTGTGTGTCCCCATAGGGCAAGTCCCACACACATCCCACCATACATATGCACCCACACCCTCCCCTTGCACTGCCATACACACAGACCCCCACACCCCCTAGCCACCCACCCCCCATACACATCCCCTCACAAACTCCATACCCTCCCACACCCCACATATGCACACAGACCCCCACATGCTCCCTCATGCACACACACACACACACACACACACATCCCCCACACAAAACTCCCCCCCACACCCCATTTTCTGGAACGGGCTCCCAAGGGAGGTGGTGCTCTCCCCTACCCTGGGGGTCTTCAAGAGGAGGTTGGATATGCATCTAGCTGGGG